CGGGGGCCGCCCGCGGCGCGGGGCTTCGCGCGTGACGGGGCACGGGGCGGACGGGGGCTCCGCGCGGGGGAAGGAAACGCGGGGTGGTTATTTTACGGAGGTGAAGGGATCGGGAGCGCGGAACCTGACCCCTTTATTTCGTAGCCGCCGTCCTCGGCCTCCCTGGGAGGACGCCGCGGCCCCGGCCCGCGCGAGTGCTTCCCGCGGGGAGCGCCCGAGGCGCCCCTTTCTCGGCCGCGCTCCGGGACGCGCGGGCTCCGTTTCCCAGTTCAGCGCCTGAGGGTCGGTGGGCTGGAACTTCGCCTTCGCGGCCAAACCCGGAGTACTTCTGCATCCCCGCGCAGTTGTGCTCAGAAGCTAACTACTGCTGCAAGTGCCATTAGATGCCCTTGGCGGCCTGGGTGGTTTTCCCTGTCCCTAAAGGTATTGTACGCTCTTCGGGTTCTCCCCCGGCGTCAGCTTCCTCCGCACACGCGGCTACACCGCGGGGCTGGCACTGGGGTGGAGACGGGGGCGTTGGTGGTGGGTGGCATGTGGATGCTGAGCTGTCTCTTCTGCTGTCCTCTGGAGAATCAAGTAGTCTCCTGGGAACCAGCTCTCTCGTCTGATAAATGGTTGTTTGGAGGGCTTTTGTGTGTGTGTGAAGAGGTGGGGAGACTTCACGTGTTTCAGCAAAGGAGAAGAGCAGTGTTTGCCGACCAGACTGCAAGAGGGGAATTTGGACTGGTAGTTGATGGAATAAAAGTGGGTTTACAGATCTGTGTTGGAGAAGAGCTGATGCTGTTGTACTTTGAAGACATTTTGTTTTCAAAAAAATTTATATTTTGAAACGGCAATGCATGCATACAGTGCAAAGTGGAAAAAAAGTCGTCCTTCCCACCTGTGTCCTCCAGCCATCCACTCCCTGCCCCATTGCACATGACAGAGCTGTTTTCCGAGCATTATGGTCTGTATGTTGTTGGAAATTAACTTCTTGGAGAGGTTAGTGTTAACTTACTGCACTTCCTTTGATACATATTTCCTCAAAGTCTTACAATCACTTGGATTCATAGTTTTCATGCTGGGGCACTCTTGATAGAGTATTGCTATAGAGTAGCATTTCTTTTGGTATTTCATTGGGAAGGAGGCTACTTCTGGAGGTGCTAAAGGAGGTCCTGTGGAGGTTCAGTATATTCTTAAGGGAAGCCCCACTCTTGTTGGAAATGGTGCTGTGTTTTTTGTTGAATGATAACCAGTCCCTGGGTGTTTGGGCATAGGTTGGATCAGGGACAGGCTTTCCTTGAGTTATGTTTTTTTTTTTTTTTTCTAAATCAGATAGGTTGTATGAATTGGTCTGGTCAAACTATTACTAGTTTTTTTGTTTTGTTTTGCTTTTTATCTTTTTGAGGCAGGATCTCGTTTATGCAGTTCAGGCTGGCCTTGAACTCACTTTGTAGCCCAGGCTGGCCTTGAATTTAGAGTCATCCTTCTGCCTCAGCTTCCCGAGTGCTGGAATTACAGGCGTGCTATTATTAGTTTTTAGAGGAACGTGGTTTTTAGTTTGGAGGCAGTGATAGTCATCATGGCATGAGGTAGATAAGTATTTTTTGTTTGTTCGAAACAAGATCTTGCTGAATATTCCAGGCTGGCCTTGAGCGTCTCTATGTAGCGTTGGCTAGCCTCCAGCTTAGGGTGATCCTCCTGCTTCAGCTGAGTGCTGGGAATGCTGAGTGCTGGGAGTATTAATTAGCAGGAAACAGAAAGCTAGACCTATAGGTCAAAAAAGATTGAACCCTTTTGAGAACAGGTGAAGTTTATAAACTTTTGTTCTCTTACTCCTTAGTTGAGAACGTTCTTGATGAGGTGAATGATTTGTAGTTGACAGCAGCGTCCATCTTTAGAACATAGAGGTTTGGCTCCCTGGCTATGTGTGATGTTAACTTCCTGTTTAGAGGTAATCAAAGGGTCTGAATAGAGGCTGAATTGAAATACAGCCAGTTAACACTGTCTAGAAGCAGTGTTAACCAGGTTCTTTGATCAGTTCTTCAAATCAGTTCTAGCAGTAATTTCTGCTGTGTTTAGCATAAGGCCACAGGATTATGGAGAGGTGTGAGGCATTTGTTCTAAATCTTAGAGCCCTAAAATATTTTGAAAAGCTGCATACTGTCCCCCCTATTTGGGGAGGATTTCCCTTCCTCTTTTCTGGTTCCACCTGGGCTAGAGTGGACCAACTGGTTGGGTTTTCGTTAGAGAGCAGTAGAGTGGAAGAGGTGTCAGTTTGTCAAAGATATGTGCTAGAACTATTGGGTTCATCTTTAGCATTGAGTGTTGTTGTTATATGCAAAGCAAGTCTTTTGTTTTAATTTACAGATACCCCGCCCCCCCCCAAAAAAAATAAAGCTGGAAGTGAAGTGCATGTGTAGCCAAACAGCAGGTGTGTTGTCCTGGTTTGTAGACTGGAGCGTGTTCCGTGTTAGCCAGTCCATTGGGAGTCATGCTGACAAGCAGCCCCTCTGCATTTAGCTCTGTTTTTTTTTTTTGTTGTTTTTCTTCCCGTACCAGGAATCAAACTCAAGACCTTGTGTTGCCAGGCAGGCGCTTTTGCCACTGAGCTAAATCCCTAGCCCCCTGCACTTAGCTCTGAAGGCTCATGTTGCTTGGCTCATTGAGAAAAGCCAAACCAGCTTTGGTTAATTAAAACAACTTCTGGAGAACCCGGGGTATAGCTCAGTGGCACAAGCGCCTGCCTGGCAACCTCAAGGTCCTGAGTTCGATTCCTGTTACTGCCCCCTCCAAAAAAACCCCTAAAAACTGCTAGAGAAATCATAAGATTTGGGCCATCACTGGGACTGAAGGACTTTCTTTTTCAGACTTTTACAGTATTTAAGTCCCTGTATCATTTCATATCAAAGCACAATAACCAGGCATTTTCTGAGGTAGTTTGGAGGAAAGAAAAATAAATAAAAAAACACACACTGGGATTGACTGTAAATCTAATCCTAACGTAAGGCATTTACCTCTTTAGTTTTTTTTGTTTTGTTTTGTTTTTTTTTCTGGTACCAGGAATTGAACTCACGACCTTGCGCTTGCCAGGCAGGTGCTGTGCCGCTGAGCTAAATCCCCAGCGGCACGGCATCTACCTCTTGATGGAGAAAAATCCAACCTATGAGACAGTGCCACACAAAGTTGCAGTTCCCCTTTTGTTGGCTAAGCATGGAAAAAATACATAGGGAACTTCTGGTTTTTTCTCCGGTACCGGGAACCGAACTCACGACATTGCGCTTGCCAGGCAGGCGCTTTTGCCGCTGAGCTAAATTCCCAGCCCCCATAGGGAACTTCTGTTTCTCTTGAAAAGAACTGGTTCTTGGGGGAGAAAATGTCTGTTAGCCCTGTTGTATGGTTTATTCTTAGTAACCTGTGAAGCTTTTTTTTTTTTGAAGACAAGTTCTTACTAACTCAGGAGGTTAGCCTTGAACTTGCTGTGTAGCCCAAGTGGGCCTCAAGCTTTTGATCCTCCTGCCTCAGCCTCCCAAGTGTGCTTTGATTACAGGTGTGTGCCACCAGGCCTGGTTATATTGAAGCTTTCCTATAGGTACTGGTTAGGGGTTTTTGTGGCTGTGGAAGCAGGGGCATTCTGTTTGTATTAGTAATGAAAGCCTCTGAAGAATAGGTCTAATGTTCCATTTAGTTGTTTTGGTACTGGGGATTTAACCAAGGGCCTTTGCTCTGAAGTACAGTCCTTTTTATTTTCGTTTTTTCGAGACAGGGCCTTGCTTTGTAGCCCAGGTTGGCCTCCAGCTCATGATGATCTTCCTGCCTCAGCCTCCTAAGTACTGGGAAAAGAGGTGTGTGCTACCATGCCCAACTAGGTCTAATCTTTCTAACCCAGCAGGTTCACCCCTTTTGATGTTCCATCTTTCACTTTCTTGATTGTGCATATATGAAGTATTTGTACACAGTTTTGATCAAGTAGAAGAGGCAGGCCCATGGTCGTGAATCTGAGATGATTTGATGGTGGCTAAGTAATGTTTACCGTTTCCCTCAGAATTCCCTAATCTTTGGCATTAGGTGCTTATGGACTGGCAAGATGCTTTTTTTTTTCTTTTGGTGTCTTTGAGACAGGGTCTCGCTATGCATTTCAGGCTGGCCTTGAGCTCACTTTGTAACCCAGGCTGGTTTCAAACTTGCAAGGATCCTCCTGCCTCAGCCTCCCTAGTGCTGAGATTACAGGCATGAGCCACCACGCCCGGCCTAGGTAAGATACTTTTGGTTATAGTAGTACGAAAAGGAAAAGATGAATAACAGCATATGTAATAATTTGAGGTATGAAATGTTCAGGTCCTAGATCTGAGTCATAATAATTGTAGAAACATCTTTGGCAACATGTAAAGTTAGGGGCTGGGGATTTAGTTCAGTGGCACAGCG